CCTCCTCTTCACTCCATCTCTATTCAGAGTATGTCACTTGCTTCTAGAACAGCAACACGATTTCCAGTGAAATTAAATTAGAATCTGTGTTACTAGGGAAACAAGCTTCAATTTCCAAGGATATTTAAAAACGGCAACTTTATCCTTTAGGAAATTGGATGCGTGGGGGAAAAAAATCCCCTCTATATCACTGCTTAACCTCTCCACCTCCACCACCCCCATCATGCCTTTTATGCAGGTGTCCTCCCTTGGAGCAGCTACATTATATTTAATGATTCACCAGAGCCATGATTCACCATAAGGCCGGGGGCCTTAAGCGAGGGATTCAACAGTCACTTGCCCACTCCCAATTCAAGTAAAAATAAGACATAAGTGGTAACGGAATGCTAAGTAGCAGATCCACTAGTATTACATAATTAAAATACATCAAGTTAAAAACAACTAAATAAAAGAAGCTCGCAAAGTTAGTTTACAGCCAAATATATATCAGAACACTGAGTTTAATAAGCACCCTTAGTAAAGTAATGGGTGGCAACACATGTGCTATTGAATGGTTACTTGTGGTGCAACGATGACTGTAGCGGGTAGTTATTTCTTCCCTTTGAAAGTACATACAATACTTTCACTTAGGCTATAGCTACACTGCACTGGCAGCGGTGTGTGGGGTATGTGTAGCTATACACTATGGTGAAAAACAGACTGCATCTTATTCTAGGCTGTAACGTGAAGTGACACACAGCAGTGGGAAAAGGGTACCTGTTGGCAAGGAAGCCGTGGGAGAAGTTCTCGCAGCAAGAAGATGCTGGAGCCTTTTCCCCAATGCTTGCCACTTCCAGAACCTTCCCCTGAGGAAAGTGAAAGGCTCCAGCAGCTAAAAATAGCAACACAGGCACAGGAGGCACTATTTGGGTCTGTAGGGAGCTGCACTGGGTACATACCCTAAGGGTTTGGGCATATCCTTATTCACTTAAGCCAGGGGGTGGAGCGATTAATAAAACAAACTTTTTAGCTTGGAAAAGAAATTACTGAGGGGAGGGGTATATAAAATCATGACTGGTGTGGAGAAAGTAAATATGGAAGTGTTATTTACTCCTCATAGCTTAAGAGCTAGGAGTCACCATATGAACTTAATAGGCAGCAGGTTGAAAACACACAAAAGGAAGTATTCCTTCACAGAATGCACAGTCCGCCGGTGGAACTCCTTGCCAGAGGATGCTGTAAAGGCCACAACCATAACTAAATTAAAAAAGGAACGATACGTTCATGAAGAATAGGCTCATCAATGGCTATTATTCAGGAAGGGCAAGAATGATGTCCCAAGCCTCTGTTTGCCAGATGCTGGGAATTGCAAACAGGGGTGGATCACTTGCTAATTTGTAAGATTATCTGTTCTGTTCATTCCCTCTGAAGCATTTGGGCACTATTGGATGACAGAGTACTGGGCTAGATGGATCTTTGATCTGAACCAGTGTGGCTATTCCCAGGGGCAGATGACTGTTTTGCGGGGCCCCGGGCAGCGTAACTCTGCGGGGTCCCCCCTTTGCCACGGCGCATGCGCGGGGCTTTCTTAAGCGCGGGGCCCGGGGCGGCCGCCCCGTTTGCCCTGCCCTATATCCGCCCCTGGCTATTCCTATATTCAACACTTAAGGGACACAGATAACACCACCCTCTGAGCCTATGAACTGTGAATCCTCTTGGCCGGAAAGGCAGGAGCTCTTGAAAATTTGCTGTGAGAAACTGTTTTAGGCAAAAGCATAGGTAGTTCAAATCAAGCTTTAGGCACTAGAAAGCATATTATTTCTAATCCTTTTCTATCTTTTATTCTTGCCTGATATCACTTAAATCTGTGTTCTGCATTAATAAATTTATTCTTGTTTTATTACAGAATGATCTCAGGGATGTTAAAAGTTGGAGTCCTCTAACTGGCTGCTGTGAGCTCTCTTTGTAGGCAGCAACCTTAACTTCTGTGAACATCCTGTGAAAGGGAACGGACATTGCAGGGAGATGTCTCTGGGGAACTCTGGAACTGGGGTTCACTGATTGTTACCTGGATGGCAGGGTTTTGACACAGCAGATGCTAAAGGAGTTCGCCAGGGAGGCAGACAGGTTGGAGCATCAGGGAGCTGACAGTTTAGCAGCAATAAGACTGTCACATGGGCACAGCTGGGCTACGCCAGTGGCTTAGGGTTCTAGATTCCCTGAGGAGCGTGTCACACACCTCACACAATACCTTACAAAATAAGGGCCCTGTTCGACAGGACTGGATACTTAAATTATATTAAAATCTGATTAGATTGGCCTTCACTTTTTCTTCTTCTTCTGAGATTTCTTTTCTTTATTGTGATTCTCTCTACATGCAGAAGCCTGCAGAATTTTCTCCGGTGTTAGTAGGATCAAAACTCTTCTCCATGGAGAACACACAAATATACAGCAGTAGGAGTCAAGGCATCTGCTCAGTGGGCTAATATTTTGGAGAATGTGATTTCTTTACACATTCTTTATACTCAGCCTCATCTCCCGATTTTTATTTTCCACATTCCAAACACCTAAGTCTGCTCCCAGAAAATGCAAATTTGTCTCAATTACTTATTCTGGAATTTGACAGTCCTAGTTCTGTTATCTGATAGGTGTATGTGGGATGCTCTATTAGTATTTGTCCCATTATCCCATAAGGACTGAAGTTAAAATTGGACAGGAATTACCAGCACTTGCATTCTCCTACCCCACCCCACTTGGTTGAAGACAGGTGACATTCAGTTCTATACCTCCTATCCTCCAGTATTTCCACAGTTCACAGGATTTTGCCCCCTGCAAATGTCATCAGGACAATTAGTTCCACACTTAGTCAATGTATTTAACACACAGTTTACATCTTGCAGTCATGCTGATTGTTGAACATAGTCAGCACTTGCATTCTCCTACCCCACCCCACTTGGTTGAAGACAGGTGACATTCAGTTCTATACCTCCTATCCTCCAGTATTTCCACAGTTCACAGGATTTTGCCCCCTGCAAATGTCATCAGGACAATTAGTTCCACACTTAGTCAATGTATTTAACACACAGTTTACATCTTGCAGTCATGCTGATTGTTGAACATAGTACTTTTCTCCTGTCTGTTTTTGTTTTAACAGCTATTATGGACCATGCTAGTGACTACACTCCACAGTTATGATCTTAATAGCTCTTATGGGAAGATTCTATATCATTTAGTAGAGTGTGAAAATATTTACTTTTCTATTTTTAAACCAATCTATTGAATTATATAAAAGGAGTATCTTTGTCTATTAAATTCTATAGATTTTTAGAAAAAAATTCGAACCCTATTTAACTCTGGGTGTTTCACTCCTATTAGATTTCATTGGACTTGTCCATGAAGGTAGCTAACAAAACCTGGATCTCTTCTGTCAGCAGAACTTCCTCAAAAAGATATTATTCGGCCATAAGAGAATTTTTCCCACATAAAAAGTGTGAAGAAACATTTTTTGATCATTTCACAAACTGTGTCGCCTAGAAAATTTGCATTGGTTCCATTCAGTTTCTTCAATGAAAGCCAGTGTCTTTTAGTCATTTTAAGAAGGGCGATCAGGTTATTTTAGAGTTAAGTACCAGAAAACTAGCATCTTTGGAAGCTCGGGTTTATGGTGACTGTTACGAACAGCTTAGATTGCTAATGCTACAGACCTAAGTACTGTTTTTTTCCTTTAAATACAGCTTATGATTATACTGCTTTTCAATGCAAAAATAGCCTTAAAATGTAAACCAGTTATTAGGAGTTAATGTCTGTCACGGCTTTTATTCTTAATAGTTTATCGGTGATTCATGATCCTATCCTGTCCCCTTCCCAGCTACTGGAAGTCAGAGCTCATCTGACCTGCTAGCATCTTCATAGACACATGCTTTCGCCACCAGAACTGGCAGGCTAGGGCTGAATTTCCTCCCTCTCTTCCTACCCGGTTTCCCTCATATTCGTGCTTTGTAAAATAGTGGCTATTCCAGTAACACCACTATGAAAAGCTGCTAATACTCACCATTCTTTGGTCCACAGTCCTCCCTCTATAGCCAAACATCCCAATAAAAGTTGTACTTATTTGTAACTATTTGCAATCACTATCACGAGGTCTCTATTATTGCTTCAGCTGTCCACACCTCTTTCCCCCTATTTTTCCCTGTAGAATTGTAATTGCTGAAAGTAGTTCAATCTCTCAACCATTTTAGAATCATTGGGCCAGATCTGCTCTCAGAGCTATGTCTGTGTTCACCAGCTACGAATCTGGTTTGTTGATTACATCTCCTTCCTTGTTTATTAACTAGTGAGCCTACTTCCTCTCTAGTGTTTCTCCACTCCCTTGATATATTTATAGAAACTCTTACATCAATCTCAGTCCAGCATTAACCCATTCTATTTTTCCCGCTATCTCATCTTTTTCCTGCAAACCCTATCTAACTAATATTTGGGGGGGGGTTTCCTACCCCTCTCCTTTGTTTTCCAAAGAGGTTGTTTTCTACTCCGTCATCTACAAGTACCCCATAGGGAAAGGACACTGGAATATTCTCGTCTCTCTTCTGTACTCTCACCTCATTTCCAACGAACAGCAGCAGTATGTTGAACCTGAATTGCAGTGACCTAGATTTTCAGACTTTGGCATCTGAAGTTAAATACATACATTAGGCACCAAAAAATAGGTGGCTACTTCTTCAGTGCTGTTGAGGATTGAAGAGCTGCAGGTGCTCAGGTTGGATTTGAAAGTCTTGCTTAAAGCAGCTGAACTTGAAGATTTTTGGATAGTGTGGTTTACGATACCCCAAACTTTCTTCTATGCTTATACAAATAGGCTAGCGGGTGAACTTTCGTTCCTCAAATTTCATTCCCTTTTGATAAGTCCATGTTTTAATTTGCTGAATTCTGGTAGCTCCTTAGAGACTGCACTATATATAACTAATGCCCACAATCAGTATGTTTTCACAAAGGTCGGCAACAACTCAGCCACATCGCATTACCTTCATTGAAGTTGTCGTCAGTCGAAACGTGGGTCAGTGGGGACTGGGGACGGGAGTCGCCGCACAGGGAGTAGCTATGTTCTGCCTGGATGAGGGGCGCTGGAGAGGCGGGGGACAGCTCCACCTCCATCATCTCATTTTTCTCAGACAAGAAGGGGTCATTCAAGAGCTGGCCCAGGACATCCTGAGAGAACTCATCCAGGAACTCCGTGAAGTGCTGTGGAGATAGAGGGAGAACAACTCTTATCTAAAGGGTGTCTCTGGCCAACAACAGAGATGCACTGACCTACATTGTTACAATATCTGCACTATGCATCTGTGCTGGTTAGCAACAGAACCCATCATTCCTGCCTCTCTCTTCCCTGCTTTAAATCACTACTCCACACTGAAAATAGAACAAAAAGGTTCTCTCATACATTATTCATTCAATTAGGAAAGACATTTAGCTATAATCTAACCATGCTGTCTGGTCCAAAGCAAATGGTTTCAGACAATTACTGTTTTCCTTACTGGATTGCTCATGAGTTGAGAAGACCATATACATGAGACCCGTCTTAGTTGACGGACAATGTCAGAGCACTATGCTGATGTGTACCAGTGGAGGATAAATGTCTAGCTGCTGTGCTGACTGGCTCCTCATAGAGGTCTAAGACAAAGAAGAGCCTGTGGGCAATTTGTGCTGGAAGCAGAAAATGAGACCCCTTGCCATGTTCTAAAGCTAACCTCTTTGGAGTGAGTCGCATTAATGAAAAAGCATACTTCATCCAGTCATGCAGGGAAACGTCCTGTTATGGTCAAAATGCATCCTTCAAATACGTAACCCATGCCCCAGGGCTTACCTCAGAGGTAGTCAACTCTATCCCAGACTAGGGATGTTAAATTTCGATTAATTAACTAATCGAATAGTCGACGGGCTTTCCATCAAGTAGTCGATTAGTCGATAAGAACTTCTGCGTTCTGCCTTTGAAATGTGCATTTCACATCTGGCATAGTGCATGGAGCCCAGGGCCAGCGGGGAGTCCTGCTGACCCTGGGCTCCCCTTTGAAGTGTACAAGAGTCCCCAGCAGGGGCTCTTGTACATTTCAAAGCAGAAACACCCACATGGAGCCTAGGACCAGTGCGGGATTCTGAGTCCCACACTGACCCCAGCCTCCACGCAGCGCTTCTGCTTTGAAATGAACAAGAGTCCCAGCATGGACTCTTCTACATTTCAAAGTTGGCTGCTGCTGCGCCCCCTACCTCCTCCCATGGAGCTGGAGCCAACCAGCTTTTAAGTCGTCTCCCTTCATTACCCCCTTCTCTTCCCCCTATTTGCTACCTCTTTGTGATAGAGGCAGCTGGGGGGTAGGGGGGAGTGACTAGTCGAGTAGCGTGTGGACATCCAATAAGCTTTTACTTATCAGATAGTCGACTAGTCACTTACATCCCTATCCCAGACCCCACACTCCTTCCATTAATAAAAAAAGAAAAGTGCAGCCCATCCCCACTCAAAATTTTTTTGAGTAGCCCCCTGCAAAAATTATTGCCCACTTCTACTCTAAACAATGTTTGTTTTGGTGCAAAGAGTTAGTACATTTCATTTGAAGAAATGCAATCAAATTGTATAACTGCATGTTGCTGATTTTTGACCCGAAGCTAATTTCAAAGCTCAGGTTCTCAACTTTGCAATGATAGGGGTTCTGACTACCAACATAAATAAGATCTTCCCCGGTGCACTGCAAAGGTCACATCTATGGGGCATGAGATGACTGTGTTCATGAGAGATGTGTCTAATAGAGATGGGCCTGAATTAAACCTCTTCTGGGGTGCTTTCAGTCAAGAGGCAAACTTTGCAGCTCTTATTATATATTTCCTTCCAGGGGCAGGAGGCTCTGCGTGTTCAGATTTAGTAACTGCATTTCAGGAAACAGTTCCAGACAGCGGCATGGCATATACAGACAGAGCATGACACAGTTTCCATTAGTCACACCCCCCCAGGGGTTCTCTTGTCATACTCCAAAAACTAAGCTGAAGAAAGATGGAAATGTAACTTCTTCCAAGCCGCCAAGCATGCTGCATTAACAGCTAATACTTACAGGAATCTTTTATTAATTAGGATTTAATATCTTGCAAGTTTAAACTGGCTTGTTTGCTCTGCTTTAGCAGGCATTGCTAACTTTGGCTCTTATTCGCTCCCCTGCACAAGGAAACACAGATTCAAGATTTGGCTCCCTGTAGCATAAAGAGTTTAACTAGACAGCGATGTGTAGTCAAGTAATGGAAATGGTGCCGCTACGCTGACATACACTCTCATTTTATAGTTCCAGGATAGCTTGCAACCTAAAAGCCTTGTAACAGCAAAGTGTTGGACTCATCTTCCATTCCGCTGAAGTCACTGGGAATTTGGAGCTCATAAAATTTTCTGCGGGAGCCTCAGAAACTTGCGGACGTGGCCTTATATCAGCATGAGAAGACTCCTGTCAACTCTGCTGGCCACTGGGAACAAGAAGAGGTTAGTCACTGATATGCTAAGACATCAAGCTAGGTAGGAACAAGGCTGTTAAAAGAGGACAAATACATGCAGTGCCCTGAATGATAAGGCTACTAAACAAACTCCAGGGTCAGTACTGGCTGACCCAGAATGTCATGACCACTTCAAACCATTGTTTACATGAATTTCTAGAGCCAAAGACTCACTAATGCATCACTTCCCATACCGCCTCTAAATATTTGCAATAGTAGGGATGCATCATAATTCGCTGCTGTTGAACACACAGACTAGAAAAATAAGCCTTTATTTGCCTATCCTAGCTCCATCAAAATCAAAATGTCCTTATTGACAGGACAAGCTATTCAACTATTGTCAAACTGAAATGAAGGACAGAAAGTACTGCTTGAGCAAGTGCAAGACACAAGCATGGCCCATTCTATGAAAAGCAGTACTGTTCTTAAAGATGGATTTTCTACCATGCATATTGCTCCCTTTCCTCCAAGTGCAGTCATATTTTTTTTCGGGGCACAATAGCAACATTTCCCTCTCTAAAGAGTCAGAATAAGGGCGCACACATATTTTAGTCATGAAGATACAATCACACACACACACACACACACACACACACACACACACACACACAAAATCAATGACTTAACACTTTCTATGCCAAAGAATGCTAAAATGTAATTTGCTTCCTTAAACTAACATGCTGGAGATCATTTAAACCAGTGTTTCTCAACCTTTTTTTTTTTTTTTTTAATAAAGTACCCCCTTAAAAAAAGTACCCCCTTTTTAAAAAAAATTATAAGTCTCCCCACTACCTATAGTTTTCAGACACACAAAACTTAGCCCACCATTGGAGCACATTTGTTTAAACAACTTAATCATAGCCAAAATTTTTAGGTGTCAAAAAGTACAAAAACAATAAAGCACTGTAAAGCTTAAAACAAAAATTCAGTTTTCTCCAAATGTCAGGTGTGTTGATGTATCCCCCAGATTTCTCTCGAGTACAGGAAACCCCCAACTTGCGACGCGATTGGTTCCTGGGGAAGCATTGTAACCTGAGCCCTCATTTATGATAGGTGCTGTGCTCCGCTGTAAATGCGGGCAGAGGACATAAGTCGGGTTTTCAGCCCCTTCTGCACTTACAAAAATGGTTGTAAGTGCGGGAGTCGGAACTCGGGTGGTCGTATGTTGGGGGTTTCCTGTACCCCTGAGGGTACTCATATACTGGTTGAGAAACACTGGTTTAAACCACCTCAGAAAGGCAGCCACCATACAAACAAAGTAACATTTTAGGACAAAAGGCAGAAAAGAATATTGCATTCAACCGTGCAAGGAGAATTTCAGTAGGTAGAATGTAATTAGCTTGGTTGGAATTTAGCCAAGAGAATCAAGCCTAAGAGTTCTACTCTTGAAGTCAAATATCCCCCTTGACTCTGCAAACATCCAGGTCTCTGGGTTCACATCTCATCCATGAGATAGCTTCTTCAGCAGTACAGCCCTCTGGCTTGAATTCATACAAACTTGGGAAGAGAAGCTTCTGTTGAACAACTATATAAAGTCCTGTTTGAAACTATTCCTTCCAAGTATGAACCTGGTCTCACTTTGCCTGGATGACAAATTGCCAGGGTCAAAGCTCAGCATAGTATGGCTGCAGACCAGTTGGCCACCTGAAGTGGCCCCCTTGCAAGCAGCCCCAAGTCCAGGCGCATCTCAGGAGTTTGAGCAAATCTATTAAAGATCCAACCAGTGGACCAAATTCAGGTGTAGCCCAAGGTCCAGTGTGCTTCAACCGCAGCCCTGGGAACTACAAGTTGTGGACTACAAACTGCGGCATGTTGGGAGAATTTCCTGGTTCCTGTCAGGACGTACCCTCTGCACCCAGCAGGGTCTCAGCAAGGACTGAGCTAGAAGCAACATGCAGTCTGCATACAGAAAGGAGGGGTTGCTTACCTGTGATCCTGTTCTATGTTTTGGGGTTTATTTATTTATTTTAACAGAATAAAGCCTGTTCCTGGTGGTTTGTCTGAGCGGGTCTGGTCTGAGGTGCACACACACTAACATACAACGCTGAGCACACCAAGGAGCCTCAGTTCTAGCCTCCCACAGTTGTGTAAGAAGTCACAAGGCTTCCCCTATGCTGCATAACTTCACACTGGGTTAGTGAACCAGGGTGGGCAGGGGAGGTTACACTGTGATGAATCCTGATTATGTGCCACCTGACGCACATTGTGCATATACTAAGAAGGTTATTTGGCATGGAGGTTTTTAAGAATATGTTAGACAAACACCTGCCAGAGATGGTCTAGTTTTATTGGGATTTGCCTCCGGACCTGGGGATGGACTAGATGACCTCCTAAGGCTCTATATTATTGTGGTATCACAGCAGCTTTTTAGAGGCTATTTGACGGATGACATTTGCTTCAAATTTGATTCTTTCTACCTCCACCTTTGAGAGGGGAATTTCCCTGGACTACTTGAAGAAGCAAAGAAACCACATTTAATTTCACAAAACTTGAGAGAAAAGTGTACCCTGAAGTAGAGAAGGGAAATGTAGGGTGCTTCTTTTAATGTAGGCTTTTAACTTTCCCTGACAGCTGGAGTCATATAAAACAGCAAGATCTTGGGAAAAGAATTAGCAATAAGAGCAGAAATACTGGACATAAAATATATGGCATCTGGGTTTAAACCAGCCAAGGTCAAGCTGTGGCTCTGCCCACCTGCCCCCACCCCTGCGCCC